TACCGAACCGAAAGCACTGTATCGAACGGTTCAATATCGATACGAGTATCGTTGCACCCCTAATATACAGAGTAGCAAGTTCCATCCATCCATCTTCTTCCCCTTATCTCTGGCTGGGTCAGCAGTCTAAGCAGAGAAGCCCAGACCTCCTACTCCCCAGCCCCCTCCTCCAACTGATCTGGGGGAACACCAAGGCGTTCCACACCTCACCCAGGAGGCATCTTTGTCAGATGCACAAACCACCTTAACTGGCTCCTTTCGATGTGGAGGAGCAGCGGCTACACTCTGAGCCCCTCTCAGATGATTGAACTTCTCACCCTATCTCTAAGGGAGAGCCCAGCCACCCTTTGGAGGAAGCCCATTTCCACTGCTTGTATTTGCGATCTCATTCTTTCAGTCATCAACCACAACTTGTGACCATAGTTGAGGGTAGGGACGTAGGTCGACCGGTAAATTGAGAGCTTCACTTTTACACTCAGCTCCCTCTTCACCACAACAGCAGCATCTGCATCACTGCAGCCGCAGCACCAATCCGTCTGTCAATCTTCCACTACCTTCTCCCATCATTCGCAAACAAGACCCTGAGGCTACGTCCACAGTAGCCCGGATAGATTTGAAATCGGTTACAAAGGGCAGCATTGTCATTGTTCATTCGTGCACAATGTCCCCAGTCTCCCTTTGAATGCTGTTGAAGCTCTGCTGGAGGTGTGCATTAAAGATCTCACGGACTGGGGCCTCTGCTAGGCATTCCGAGCTAGGGCTGCCACGATTAGTCGACTAGTCACGATTACGTCGACTATTAAAATCGTCGAAGATTAATTTAATAGTTGACGCGTCGTTTGAAGCTTTGTAAGATCCCAAAAGACGCAGGAATAAGTAGTAGGATTTAAGAGTGTAATAACGGACTGAAACAGAAGATGGCAGCACTGCACGTACAGGGATGCCAGCTGCCGTTAAACCCCGAAGAAGAAGAAGCTGTGTCCCAGAATTCGTAGCGCGGCCCAGCGCAGTAGTCAATAATGGCGGCAGCTAGTTGGTGTTAATATTACTCTTATTATTCTTTTTGGGTCACAAAATAAACATTTAACATATTTTCAGGCGAACATATGTTAAAATATGTTAAAAATATGTCAGCTGTGTAAACTTCAAATATCTGCTCAGTTTATCAAGACACCACATATTTTCAAAAGCGCTCCGACGTTTTGTGCTCCAACGTGGGTAACAGACGTCTCACCAGCTTGATAGCGAGCGGGGGTTCAAGGCTCACTAGAGCCAGTGAGAACACCGGACTCCCGGCAAATCGTTTTCAAACCCACTGCTGTCTTTCGCTACTCAGGTTAAACATGTAATATAAGTCACTTAGATAACTTCAAAATGTTATTGTTTGGCTTTTTTTTAAGTATTTTATTTGTTCCTGAGTAAATCGGTTTGGCTGAGATTGAAGTTATAGTTTTTACACAGCTGAATAAACCTCAAGCAGACAACTGATTATCAGAAGTGTGAGATACTCGAGAATATACTCCGTTATATTTTAGATAGCAAGGAGTTTATTAAACTCTCCCTAACTTATTAAACTTCACTGAAACTTTATTTTTAGTTAGCACATACCTTAAACACTTAAAGCTGTAAGCTAATGATAGTTATATAAGAGCAGGTGCATGCTGGTGCAATAAGCTGTCCGTTTTACGTCCAATGGATGCATAATCTGATTAGTCGACTAATCGCAAAAATAATCGGTGGCTAGTCGACTATCAAAATAATCGTTTGTGGCAGCCCTATTCCCAGCACACCCTC